CTTTAAATGGAGCTTCCCCACCCCCCACATCATAGCAAGAAAACTGCTTTGCACTAATGGAGTATGCACGTTTGAAAGCTGATTGGCAGGGGGAGCGTGCCTTCAAAGAGGCATGCTCCATTCGTGTGGTTTGCTTTGAAAACGTTTGCTGAAATTGATATTTTTTTTCTTTGCAGAGTTTCTGATGTAGCAAGCACTTTCAATGCAAATTGCTTCAAAACAGAGCTTTCTCAATTGCACTGGGGAATTCCCAAGCAGGAACTCACTAGTGCAGCTGATCCATGTGCGTCTCTCTGTTGGAGCTGATCAGCTGATTAGCACTGACATGGAGCCCCTCTTGCAAAGGGACCATTGGGAGCTCACTGTAGGCTCCTGATCATTCCACTGTACCTGCCCCACATGTGGTGGAGTGAGGCTACTAAGCATGTTTTGGTAAAAATAGTTTGCAGGCTAAATTAGGGCCTCTGCTGGGCCAAATTAAGCCTGCCAATCAGCGTTTTATGACCCCCAATTTAACAGGGGGACCACATCCTAATGGTGTGTCCCTGAGTTCACCTCTTTACTTTTTTGCATGCAAGTGAAAAGCTGCTATGTCTATGGGGAAAAGGAAAAGTATTAAAATAGGTTCAATATTCTTGACACATGTGATTGAGTTCTCTAACAAGGGTCCTGCAATAGGCTGGAATATGTCTTTGTGGCGAGTCTGTACAGATGACAATTATATATAATAAAATCCAGAGACACATTACCCATCATAAGGTTGAGCATTTGGCAAGTATAAAGTCAATCCAGGAATGCTTTTGCCTATGCAGAGCAGAACCCCCATTGCAAAAAAAACTGGTTATCTGATAAGTTCATATACTCTACTTTTAGAGGGAAATACCTGTACTGTAATATCATGAGGTGACATTTCCCTGATATTGTTCCATAAACTCACAAATGCATTCCAAGTGGCAAAACCAATATGCAACCATAGGAAGCGACAGCTCAATCTCAGTGATTGAACTTTCATTGGTGGTGTCTTGATTTTGCCTTGCCTGGCTCACTTAACGAGGAACCACTGAAAAATTACAGGGAAATGTCATATTGTGATGAATCTTCTGTTAGTTTCAATTTACTGTCTGTCCTCCAAGAACCTTCATCTGAATATAAATAGGACTCAAATTTCCAGATATGTGATGATCAAAATATTGAATGCTTTTGTCTCTTTCCCTCCCCTTCTCCATTATACTATATTATGTAAATGCAGTAAATAGATGACAGATAGTGCAAATGAGTGATAATGGCTGAGTAACTGTGTTTTTCATTAATTCACACAGTATGTGTGATTACCCAGCCAACACACATTCATGTCTCATGTTTATGGCTTCAATGCTTTACAACAGATAAGGGGAACCTGTGGACCTCTGGGTTTTGCTGAACTATAATTCCCATCAGCTGCAGTCACTATGGCCAAAGGTAAGGGCTTCTTGGAATTGGAGTCCAATAACATCTGGAGAGCCACATCTGGATTGCTTTATAATATAAATCACCCTCACGGTCTGAAGACACTCTGCTGAACCTGAAGCATTTATGAAGTGAAAATATGTGCATGGACTGCTGCTCAAAACAGTTTTAAGATATACATAGTCCAGTATGGGGGGCTGATGTCCCTTCAGCCGGGTGATGAATGTATAAGATAATATGCAAATGTGGAAAACAAAGTGAACATGGTCTCTATCTGAACAAAGAATATCAGTGTATTCTAAAACATGAGTTCTTTCCTTTTGTGCTAAAGCAAAAAGATTGTGTAAAAATACAGTTTGTGAATTCTTCTAAAACCCTTAGGTAATCTCCGTCCTCTAATCTCATCTATAATCTATCATTCTACCTTCCCTGTTTCATTACGCTTTGATAATGTGATTCATTTTGCTCCCACTAGAGCTAGTTATAATCTCTTTTCTTATAACATTCTGCCTGTCTTTGTTGGATTGTTTCATTTTAATGTTTTTGGCTTCTTCCCTTGACTAAACAAATTTGTACAAATTGCAGTTTGGTTACTGTGAAATGTACTATTAATCCGGTAATTAATTAATCAGGGATGAACAGATGAAATGCCATCCAAGATAAGACAAATGGTCCATCAAGTCTCATAGATTTTTGCTTTCTGTTGAGGGCTTTAGCACTTACAAAGAAATGTACTAAACTACAAGTAAACAGGCAAACATGGAGTTTAAACGGACAGGAATAATTTTTCACTTTTGTACCAGCATCGAAGGAAAATTGATATGCACATTTTTGGTACATCAGGCTTCCACAACCTGATGCCCTCCAGTTGTTGTTGGACTCCTATCTAGCAGCAGCCCCAGCATGGCCAATGGTCAGGGATGATGGCAGTTGTCCAAAACCTCTGGAGAGTATCAGGTTGAGGAAGGTTGGATTATACAAATAATTCAAAATGTAGGATGTAGTGGATGATCAGCGCTCAGCTTAAATCTCAGTGAGTGCAATATTCACTATTAGTAAAGACAGCAGTATGTAGGGCACAATAACCAACGTATTCTCCACTGCTGCATTTCTTATTATTTAGACTAGCCTTCCTCAACCTCCAGATGCGTTGGAGTACAACTCTCATAAGCCAGCATTGCCAACGGTCAAGAATGTTAATTTGTTTATTTATTGTATTTATATCCCACCTTCTTCTCCAAGCTCACAGTGGTGTTCTCCCCTTCCTCATATAATTCTCACAACAATCCGGTGTGGTAGGTTAGGCTGAAAGGCAGTCACTGGTCCAAGGTCACTAGTCCAAGTGACCTTCATGACCAAGGGGGGATTTGAACGCTGGTCCCCCAGGTCCTAGTTCAGTGATGGGGAGTTGTAGTCCAAACATCTGGAGGACTTTGGTTTGGGGAAAGCTGATTTAGCCACTTGATGGAACGTAAGAGCACAGTTTATTTGCAAGATATGAATAAACAGAATGGAGCTCAAACTCAGTGCAAGGTAGTGAGGAACAGGCAGCAGCAATACTGAGGCTTTCAGCAGCCACCATTGCCAGATATTACACAGTAGTGGCACACAAAGCATAGGTGTAAAAGAAATGCATGGACATGTGTGGGAGAAGAAATGTCGACAACTTACTTCTTATATAAAAGGTGTTTTGGGCACCAGAGGCTGCTTCATTTGAAAATAGTGAAGCATTTCTGTTTCAACTAGTGCAGTAAGCAGTTTTCATGAGAATGCTAATTGGTAAATGGGAAATAGAGGGCTCGACCTGGGCCACACAATTGCTACCATGTCAGTATAGTAAGGTACACATCATATTTTGTGCTTACCTGACCTGTGAGGTGACTTCCCCTAAACCACGGTTAAGGAACTATTGGTCCTCCAGATGTTTTTGATCTTCTACTCCCATCAATCCCAGCCAATGATGAAATATTGGGAGTTGGAGTCCAATTCCTCTAAAGGATCCAGTTTGCAGCTTAAGGGTGCAGTTTAGAGCTACCTCTCTCGATTACCAATAAGCATCTGAGGCACCATGTGCCTTTTGCCAACATCAACCCTGACCCCTTGGCAAGTTATCCCAGACAACATCCAAATTAGTCTGCTCCAGTGTCTTGTATGTAGGGATGCCTCTGATACTTCAAAGAAACTTCAGTTGCCCCAAATGCAGCTGTTAATCCACACAAAAGACTCCCTGCTCCCACACCAACCTGTTTGACTGTTAAGGTAATAATCTGAGGCTCTTGGGTACTACTGCCCTAAGGCTAGGTGAGCAATCTGGGGAAAGGTCTTTGCAGTTGCGATTCAAAGGCACTAAAATGTGACAAGCAGAGGTTGGATGGCCATCTGTCATGGATGCTTTAGCTGAGATTCCTGCATTGCAAGAGTTTGGACTAGATTGTTGGAAATGAGATCCTTGAGATCCCTTCCAACTCTACAATTAAGAGATTGTATTAGTAAATTTTTTCCTGATATCTTCCTTGTTTCCTGGTTGTATTTTATGACCTTTTAAAGTATAATTTATCTATTGTGAGTGTAGGATACCTTGAAAATTCATATTCGGAGACGGAATAATTACTTTGATAATTAAAAGCCCAAAGTGTTATGCCAACTCCAAGAGATTTCTTCCTGCATATGTAGCGCCTCTACCTCAGCATCTGCCACACAGCAAGCGTGCCAGCTGTTTGTAACGCAGGTCTGCATAACTCAGCGGATAGATTTGATTAACGACCGGTGAGGGGCAGTTTTTGTGAGGTCTGCAAGCTTATTTATTTATTGACATCCCACCGGAACTCCATCTCTTTCATGATTTTTAATCCCTGCTTTTAACTGGGTTTATAATCATTAATTTTAGTACTTTTATTTTATATTCCTGTAGTCCACTTAGAGGTTTTATTACAAGCAAGTTGTATACTAATTTTGTTCAAAAAATAAAATAAAGAAGTAAAACAGAGGGGGCTACAGGACAGCCCTGTAGACGTTGCTGGCCATGGACTGTGCTGGATGGGCAAGATGGGAGTTGGTTTAGAAGCCGCAGGTTAGCCACGGGATTAGGCACAATTTTCTGGTCCACCTCAGGTTTTTTTAAAAAAGGTTCTGCACAGGCCCTACTGAAGATTCATTACGCAAAACGTTTTAAAGCGCTTCTATGTAGGGGAACCCAATAAACTGATCAATCTCGGCCTTTGTTTACTTCGGGTATTTACAATCCTTCCATCACCCAAAAGTCCCAAGACAGTTACAAGAACACACGTTTAGAAGGCAGATAATAGATCAAACGTCGCCATCAATGAAATACATGTGTTTCGACCTTCCCTTGTCACACACATCTACCATGGGAGCTTTTCCTTAAAAATAAAAAAATCCCTCTTTCCTTCCCCCCTCTCGCCCCCTACATGGAGGAAGCCAAGCGCTGCAATCGGAACCGGAAGTGACGGTCGCCGGGGGGCTCTGAATTAATTATATTTTCCTTTTCAAAATCCCTCTTTGCTTTTCAAAGCAGCGAGGGTTCCGTTAGCCACGCCCCCTCCGCACCCTCAGGGGCCCCGTTAGCGTTCCGGCTGCCATAGTTACCGAGTCCGTCCAGGGCGGGCGGCGGGCGGGCGGGGCCTAGTTGTGCAGCACGTCCTGTGTGGGGACCGAAAGGTCCCCTTCTCCGACCTCTCCACCCCGTGCCTCCCCACCCGGCGGGTGGGACAGTGGGGCCGCCTTTGCCGCCGCCCTCCTCTTCCTTCCCCATAATGTCGCCAAGCAAGGGCTTCCTCTGCGTCCTGGAGCTGCAGATCCGCTCGGTGAGGCGAACTAGGCGGCGGGGAAAGGGTTAAGCGCGCGCGCGGCGGGGGCAAGATGGTGGCCTCTGGGTGGGACACGGGGAGATGCGAGAGGGGAAAGTGGGCAGGGAATGGGGGCCAAGGTGCCAGGGCGGAGGGGGCGCCTCGGTGTCTACGGGAGAGACCTGGAGGAAGCGATTTGGGGGAGCCTTCAAAGTTTTCTTCCTTTGTGGGGCTGCTCTTTCGCCTTCAGGTTCTAACACTCTTGCTTTAAAACGAAATAAAAAGCCTCCCCCCAATAATGAGGGTGGGGCGAGATGGGGGCGCACTCTTGATCTAATCCTGGCAGGGGTTTTTTAATTCCTCCTAACGGTGTTGGCGGAAATCGGGAGGGTGGTGGACCCGGTGCATGAATCCTTGTTAAGACTGATGAGCCTGGTCTGTGACCCACTTGCTGCCGCTGATGGATTTGTTACAAGCAAAGCTGTCCAATCAGAAAACGTGGTTCTATTTGATTTGTTTCTAAAATCCTGCCCCATCCAACTTTTTCTTTCCCCCTTTCTACTGACTGACGTTCTCGAGTACATCTGGAAACTTCATTTTGCCTCTTCTCCCCTCCCCTCCCCACCCCAAACTTCCTGAAATGCTTCAGTAACCGTTAGATTAAATCTCCTCCTCTCCATTTCCTCCTGACCAATTAGACGCCAACGTTTTGCCTTTTTCGCAAACTCTGCACCAATCCCTGTGTGGAATGTGAGTTGGGCACATCTGGTGCTGAATGCAATTAATCAGCTGCTAAAATACTTGCAGGAGTGACAAGTTCTGCATGTAACGCTTGGGCAAATCATGGCTTAGTGTGAATGTGCAGGTCCCCAGAGAAAAGATCATGGTTGCTTTGCTCTTTCTCCTGTCCTCCAGCGGTTGTACTGCTATGAGCTAAGCCATGGTTTGACTTAGTGTGCTGTTCAAACCTGGGCATGTGTTTCACTCCAGACAAACCACAAGCTGTAACTTTGTTCATGATGATGGTTACTTGTTTCCTGTTCTTTATTTGCTGGAAAGTTTGGAACACACACACAAAAAAAGGAGTTCATCTTTCTCTGAACTCCAAAGTAAAGTTTATATGACCCTGAATCCCCAGATAAATGTTGGGATGCCCCATGTCATATGTCTCCATGATCCTGGGGGACTTTCCCCCTTCAAGCCCAACAATAATGGTTTTCATGTCTGAGAACTGGGGAGAGAACCAGTTCTAGATGGAGTCTCTTTCTACCTGAAGCAGCAGGTACTAACTTCAGGCCCAGGTGGCTTCAGTGCTTAGGAGTGTCAGGGATAGGCTGACCACAGTGACCTGTGCTCTGATACGATGCCATTTGAACCACTGTAATATGCTATATGTGGGACTTCCTCTGAGGACAGTGTGGAAGCTGCAGCCAGCACAAAATGTGACTGCATGGGTTGGGAGTTGTTTGTGGATAAACAATCATTTAACACTGTAGTACCAGCTCCCTTTCTGCCGGTCAGCCTAATTCAAGGTCTTGACTCTAATGTGTAGAGCCCTAAATAGGTTAGGGCCCAATTACTTGATGGAACATCTCACACATATCTGTCAAGTTGAGTTCTGCAATTTGGTAGTGTAGGATCTTGCAGTTTCACTGGTTGAAAGGGCCTTTTTACAGTGATGCAGGAGGGACGCGGGTGGCGCTGTGGGTAAAAGCCTCAGCGCCTAGGGCTTGCCGATCGAAAGGTCGGCGGTTCGAATCCCCGTGGCGGGGTGCGCTCCCGCTGCTCGGTCCCAGCGCCTGCCAACCTAGCAGTTCGAAAGCACCCCCGAGTGCAAGTAGATAAATAGGGACCGCTTTCTAGCGGGAAGGTAAACAGCGTTTCCGTGTGCAGCTCTGGCTCGCCAGAGCAGCGATGTCACGCTGGCCACGTGACCCGGAAGTGTCTCTGGACAGCGCTGGCCCCCGGCCTCTTGAGTGAGATGGGCGCACAACCCCAGAGTCTGTCAAGACTGGCCCGTACGGGCAGGGGTACCTTTACCTTTACCTTAGGGGGGATCCACAGCCTTCTTTGTGGTGGCAATCTGCTGGTGGAACTTCCACCCCCCGCCGGGCATACAGCTGTCCCCATCTTGACCCCCCCCCATAATTGATGACTTTTAGAAAACTGCTTAAAACACTTCTTTTCACCCAGTCATTTGAAAGGTCTGTGAGTGGAATTGATAATTCTAATGCAGCTGCTGAGCTGTTGTATTGGTGTAATGTGATGCTTTAATTATGCTGAAATTGTTTTATTGTTTTATCTTGTGTGTTCATTGCCCTGGGATCCTATTGGATGAAGGGTGATCTATAAATGTAAATAATAAATAAACACGCATTTCAATATTGGTTTCATTTTTCTCCTAGCTTGAACTAAAAATTCAATACAGACTGCACTCTTTGATACAAGGCTGCTCCTGAAAATGGCATTGCCATATCTAGTTTCCCCCCTCTCCTGTAACATGTTTTTCTTTCTTTTTTAATTGAAACAAAACTATATGAAATTACTGCATTAGCATATCGATAGAAGTTTGTGTAGAAATACTTAATGTTGTGACATTATGATATGCTTCATTTCCTTGCCTGTGGCAGCTGCAGCCAAAGATGCTGAGCAGGAGCAGACAGAGAATTCAGTATAGGGATGCAGTTTTTTTAGCAGCAACCCCATGTTGGCATCAAGTAGCTATACAAATTTTGTGACATAATTGAACATTGATCTTCCAGATAACATGTCCGGGAGTTACCCTGAAAGCCAAAGATGACCTTTACATCAGTGCCCGCATTCTAGGACAATATAAGAAGACATCGTCTGTTCGTGCAATATTTCCCCTTCTATTTAATGAAAAACTGATATTTGAAAAGGTAAATGTTCACCGTGTCCTGGGTATGACATTCAGTGCATTACTGGCATTTTGATCTAAGCACTACTTACATGGATGGAAAATGCAATGTACAAACAGTCGCATGAACAAAGGTTTCCTCTCTGCCTTAATTGTTTATTGTTAGCCCTGTGCACAGTTTCCTGTTATTCATACATGTCTGACTTCACACTGAAGTCAACAGGGAAGCCCACCCACATGGGAACTCAGTTCCTGTGTTCAAGTGTTAATTGATATTTAGGTTGGAAACTGCGTATTTTACAGTTAATAAGTTGATTCAAGAATGGTTGTAGGGCAGGAGTGTGACCCCTACATGTTCTTGAGGTGCAACTTCCAACATTGCCAGCTAGCATGACCAAGTGACCAGGGATGATGAGAGTTGTAGTCAGAAGAGCTGCAAGTTCACAACTCTGTTGTAGGGTGCATATGTGAGTCCTTCCCAGTCTTGCATTATCCATAGTCTCCTGGCCTGTTTGCTGTTCAGTGAAGGTAGCTATTCACAGGCAGTTTTTCAGACTCATGAGGTTGTACAGTGTCATGGCTTATGGTACCACCCGCCCACACGGGTCTTTGTAGCCCATACAGCCTAGCTTGCTAGAATTAACACCACTTTCAGTCAGTTCTCACAAGTGTATCTTATCATGCACTCTGAAAGTGAGTTGATACTCTCATTACTCTTCATTAGTAAGTGCCTAATAAAGTAACCAATAAAGAATACCAGCTCCCATTTGGTAGTAAGCAGTGGGCTTTTCCATTGTGTTGAAAGCAACACAGATTTACATTCCTGTTATTTATGGTTGAATATATGACTAAAGTAATATTGGAAAGGGCAAAAATCAGAGAAGAAAATGGGTTATTTCTGTGGAAAAGCTTTTGTCTCTGTGCCAAATTATGAATCTTGGTTTTTGCTTTCTCTTTGAAAGAAATGAGTGCAGTTTTCCTTTTCCTTTCCTTTTAAAATTATGGTGGCCATATTCTATGTCCTTGTTATAGCTGAGGCCAACTTGTTCCATTTCATTTTCTTAAATTTTCATTTTAGGTATATACTGATGTAGTTGACCCAGGAGACCTTGTTGAACTATTTGAACGTAGGTTTTAAAAAACTTTTTATCTCTATTATATTCTTTGCATGAAATTACTTTAAAGTGTAGAGTATGAAAAGCCAATGGGAGATTAGGAAAAAAGCCAGAATACAGTGGTACCTCAGGCTAAGTACTTAATTCGTTCTGGAGGTCCGTTCTTAACCTGAAACTATTCTTAACCTGAAACACCACTTTAGCTAATGGGGCTCCTGCTGCTGCCGCGCCACCGGAGCACGATTTCTGTTCTCATCCTGAAGCAAAGTTCTTAACCCGAGGTACTATTTCTGGGTTAGCGGAGACTGTAACCTGAAGCGTATGTAACCTGAAGCATATGTAACCCGAAGTACCACTGTATGGTTTTTTATGAATGATGAGAAAATGACAGTTGCAATATACTATAAAGTCACCTTCACTTTCTCAAAAAATAAATAAAAGAAAGTTTCAAAGTAAGGTGTGCCAAGGAAACAAAAAGCACCCTAAGTTAAGATGAGAATGTGTTTGTGTTCATTGGAATATCTCACTAAGTTTTAGATGAAAACCCATAGAATTAGTTTAATTATGGATTGCTATGTATTCAGTTGGGAATATTTTTGATAATCTTTTGAATAACTGGTGCTTTTGTAATTTTAAAATTCAGTGAACCTTTGCTCATTATCACACTTGCAGAAATTTGTCATAAATCTAATCTCTGCCCCCTCCCCCAAAAAACACAAAATATTACTAGTCACTATTGAATATGAGAGAGAAAGAGAGTGAAAATAGGATAGCAAAGAGATTAAAGACAATACAAGAAAGCAAGTTAACAAAAGCTCAGGTTATATTTTAGTTCTGGGGAAATATAAAATGGTCATTTTGATGAAGCTGTGCAGATCATGATCTGACCCATACCTGGGCCAAGACCACCTAGGAAACCCATGTATGCTTCATTAAGTTTCATAGAATCTAAAATTGTAGAGTAGGAAGGGATCTGGAGGATCACCTATCCCAACCCCCTGCAATGCAGGAATATGCAATCCCATATGGCAGAGCTTTCCAAACTGTGTGTCGGGACCTGTTAGTGTATCGGCTGCAGTGTGTAGGTGTGCCGTGTGAACGTTCTCCACGCTCCTCCCGGGGTTGGGAAGGGGTTAGTTTAACCTCCGGTTTGCTAATAGAACTGAATTATTGTGTCACGAACTGATGCATGTTTAAAAAGGGTGTCACCAACATGAAAAGGTTGGAGAGCTCTGCCATACGGGGATCAAACCTGCAACCTTGGTGTTATCAGCACCACACTCGAACCAACTGAGCTATCCATGACTGAAGAAAGGTGGGGTATGTTAAATAAACAAGGGAGAAAGATTTAGGCTAAATCTTGACTTGAAGGCTGCAATTTAATACTGCTACTTGGTAGCTCTGTCCCTGCCAACCTAGCAGTTCAAAAGCACACCAGTGCAAGTAGAGACATAGGTACTGCTGTGGTGGGATTTCCGTGCGCCCTGGCACGCGACACGGTGCCCCGTTGTGCCAACAGTTTAGTCATGCTGGCCACATGACCCAGAAAGCTGTCTGTGGACAAACGCCGGCTCCCTGAGCCTGAAAAGCAAGATGAGCGCCTCAACCCCATAGTCGCCTTTGACTGGACTTAACTGTCCTTTACCTTTACCTTTAATTGAGCAGGTGTCAACTTTATGAATTACATGTCACTAAATATGGAAATTATCTATGCCATATGCTTATGATAGCAAAACATATTGTAATCAGAACACCAGAGGATTTGAGCCTGCCTTCACACTTCAAGGGTGTTATACTGCCACAGTGTCTCAAATATTAGTCTTAGGGGTGCAAGAGGTTTTGACTGTCTGCCGTGTACCATGACATCTACATATGTTATTTCTTCAGGTAGTGCATGTCCAGTGTCTGCTTCAGTACTGTCTAACTGGTGGAAAACAGCAGCCAACTGAACAACCAGCAAAGGGCATTCTTCCTGTTACCCCTCCAAAATGGCAGGAATAAAGATTTCACTTAAACAACCTCAGGAAGCAGCTGTTGTACCATATGTATCTGGATTATCTGATGTATGATAAGCTCTAAAAGTATATTAAGTGTCAGAGCAGTCAACCCATCTGCTCTTACAAGCTAAAAACTAGTATCTTCACTACTATTTCCCCCTTAATGTGTCCACTATCCATCTCTGCTAATCATTGCCTCATCAAAATTGTGCAAACCTTCTCTGTTCAGGTTAAAAAGGTAAAGGTACCCCTGCCCGTACGGGCCAGTCTTGACAGACTCTAGGGTTGTGCGCCCATCTCACTCTATAGGCCGGGGGCCAGCGCTGTCCGGAGACACTTCCGGGTCACGTGGCCAGCGTGACATTGCTGCTCTGGCGAGCCAGAGCCGCACACGGAAACGCCGTTTACCTTCCCGCTAGTAAGCGGTCCCTATTTATCTACTTGCACCCGGAGGTACTTTCGAACTGCTAGGTTGGCAGGCGCTGGGACCGAACAACGGGAGCGCACCCCGCCGCGGGGATTCGAACCGCCGACCTTTCAATCGGCAAGCCCTAGGCGCTGAGGCTTTTACCCACAGCGCCACCCGCGTCCCCTGTTCAGGTTAGAGAAAGTTAAATTGGTGTAAAGCTTTTCGTTTGCATCTCAAAACAACTTCTGACTATAGTTTTCCTCTTTTTTCTAGGTGACACAACAGTACTTGAATTAATACAAACTGTTCCTCCAGGTATTGATAAATTCATGAATTATGGAGCTTTTTAGAGAAATTTTCATGAATGCCTAACATATTGCAGAGGACTCTGCTTCTCAGGTTGCAAACAGCATAGTTCTCAACTATTCAGAGTCAGCGTAATAAACCTTCCTTAGCTGTGGATCTTCCACTGTTGCATAGAATCACAATGCACACTATCCTTACACCAGGGAAGATGATGGCCTCTTCCCTGCTACCTCTCTGTGTTTGTCCATATGATAGCTCAGTTGGAGCGTAGTGCTGATAACGCCAAGGTTGCAGGTTTGATCCCCATATAGGATAGTTGCAACTCTATCATTCTATGATTCTATGATCTTCACTCTACAGTTTCCTCATGTGCAGAGCCTACACAGGTGCATTTATATTTTAGTCCACAGATATACTAGAAACTGCCTTTCTAAACCACTTTTGTAAAATGTCTGATGAATCTCCATACTGGGTGTCTTGACCACCTGAGCCTTGGCACATGGCCAAGGGGGAGCAGAGTGTAATGTTCTCCCTCATAAGATCCCTATGGCTAATACTCTCCAGGGTTTCAGGAAGGCTATAAAAGCCTTTCTCCTTCCAAAGTCTGTTTTGTTGGTGGGCTAAATTTTTTAGGGCAATCACTAGTTTACATTTGGTTGGATCCAGAATATTTTCAGTGGAACCCAATATCTAAATGTTCCCATGGGGTGCAGCCCTCTATGTCCAGGTGGATGGAGGATTCTCTTGCGGGACCTGGTGCGGGGGGGTGGGGGGGTGGGGTAGAGATTGAAAAAGGGACCACTGAAAATCTCCTCGCCCTTCTGCCTCTAGTAGAATTCAGTTAGCAGACTAGGAGCCTGTGGTTGACAAACAGGAGTCGCTTCCATTTTCAGATGTCTGAGGTGTCATTCTGCTGCATCTGGGTTATTTTTATTGGCACTTTTAATTGAAAGATTGTTTCAAACTTGATTTATTGTGGAATTTTGTATCGTATTTTAAATTCTTGATAGTCTATTTTGTAGTTGTAAGGTTGTTTAAACTGATAAAAATAAATTTTACATAGATAACTGAACTGCCAATCATGCAGCTGTTGTCTATTTATGTAATTATCCAATCATGCACTGGGAATTAATCTTATTTTTCAGTATCTACTTATAAGCAACATTCCTTCTCAGGCACAGACATTGCTAATAACCAATTATGTTCAATACACAACATAACCTTCTATCACTTTTGCTCTGGATTGTTTTGACAAGGTGCTCTTTTTTGCTGGTGTGTTAAAATTTGAGAGCATAAATTTTAAACAGGGAGCTTTCTTAAATGGATTTTAAAAAATCAGTTTAGATTTATATTTTTTGCTTCTTCCTGATGGCTCTGATCTGCTTTTTAAAATGCCATTATCAACTAGTAGAATTGCTTACATGGTCTTTAGGATAATTTTCCATGTCAATCATATTGGGAGTAGACCTATTGAAGGCAGAACTTGATAATCCATTGATTTCAGTGGGTTGAATATAAAGTTGAATATAACCCATTGGTTTTAGTTGGAAAAAATAGGTCTGTATTTAATTCTTCTATTGAAATTAGTAGGATTCAAAAATGCTTAACTTCAATTGGGCTATCCTTTTTGTATACAGTCTGGCTTGCCTATATTTGATAAAAAAGAGAAAGCAGGTGATATCTGCCCCCCCCCATCATATGTATAACTATTATTTTCAGTTGGAGAAATTCTAGCCACTTATGAGGAAAATACAAGAGATTTCCTTTTCCCTGCTCCTAAATCAATCACTGGACAACGAGGGTCAGTTCGTGAAATTTTAATGAAGAAGGCCTTTGGTTTTACAGTAAGTGGTGAAATTGTTCTTTGCTCTGAAATATTTCTCAATACTTTTATATGCTCCATATACAATGTGGATTATTTAAGATCCACATTATCACAATATATGATTCAGTGTCCAGGCTTTGGGGATATTTGTTTAAGAGATGTGCTGAATTAAGGCATGATCCATTTGTACTGTTCTATGCAGTACATTTTGTTTCACAGAGCATGAACTTCCTCTTGCTTATTTGAATTGAATTTTTCTGACATTTTGTTGCTATGCGACTTGGTTGGGTGATATGCTTTTGACTATTGCCACCACATGCTATAAACAAGAATGGTCTTCTGTGAAGGAATCATAGTTCAGTTGCAGAATGCATGCTTTAGATTCATCTGGTATCTCCAGTTAAAAGGTTCTCAGTATAGAAAATCCCTCTGCCCAAGACCCTGGAAAGTTTCTGTTGGTCAAATATTTTATTTGTTTATCTATCTAATAAATTTATTGGCTGCCATTCAAAAGATAGTATTTTCCCGTGACAGCTTACAATGTTGAAATGTATTTTAAACCGTATAAAATAACAACATAATCACAGTTATGTCAACATTTCAGTCAATGTACCACAGCAAGCCATAGCAGTATATAAGACTATATTCAACACACTAATTAAAAGCAATCCTGAACAAAAATATTTTTAAAACCCACCTAAACACTAAGGAGTAGACAATACTGAGCTAGATGAATAAGTTGTCTGAACCAGTATAAACTTCCCATAATAGTGAGGAATGACTCCTATTATAGAAGCCAAGCTGCTGCTGCTTAACAAAACTTGTTTTTCTGTGCCATTCCTACCTTTTGCAATTATTTCCATTACTGTACTTGGAACAAAATATATCTTGACAGATCTATAATTACATAGATTTCACTTTATTGTATCTTTTTAAAAATGGCATTTCATTGGCTACCTACAGATCCTGTGGTGAATGGCTGCTTTTAGCAAACGTTTTTATTAGTTCAGCAGATTCCTATTTTGTGCTACAAAATTCCAGGTTAACACCCATTTCTTCATATGGGGTCATTTGGTGCAATTCGTTTCACATGGTATCAGTGCAAGTTGCCTGCAGTAAGTCTAGTTAGGGCAAGGACACAATATAGGGTGAGGATTAAGACTGGACACAAATAACAGGAATGGAATGGGAGGAAACATTTCCCCCACAAATGGCAAATCCTATGCTACTTCCCCTGTATTCCTTGTGGCACATATTTCTTCTAGTGACTACACCCTCTGCCTGCTACAGGGAGGAAAATGCAAAAATCTGCATCTTGTCATTCTGGTTGACAGGCATTGCCTGATATTCTCTTTTATAACCATGATGTTGCCCTCACTGCTGGTGGGGCAGGCTCTTTACTTTTGGAAAAGTAAAAAGAGTTTGTTATAATTTGTTTTCCTTTGTCCAGCATTAAGATGTGGCAAACAAACATAGGGGAAATGTAGGTTTTGTGTAAACAAAGGATATCATAATGTCTCCATTGTCCATATCAAAAAGTTTGAAAGTGATGTGAGTAAAGGTTGTACAGCAATACTTGACTTTTAATTAGTGATATGTAACATGCCATGAAAATCTTTTTAAATGCTTTTGACAAAGCAATGTGTTGAAATAAACGGCAGACCTTAATTGTAGTACAAAAGCAATATAATCATCAGTAATTGAATTGTCAGAAATGCAAATGTTATCTTCTTGACATTTACCATTGCTGTTCTGTCTTTTCTAATTATCTTTATTAAAGGCTGAAATTAACAAAGGAAACTGTTAAAATTAGGAATGGTTTGTTGCAGTAGGTGACATTTACTTCTTTGATACCCTTTATCTCTCTAGTTGGGGCTTGATGTTCAATTATTGTCTCTCTTCTAGGGAATTGCACCAAAATTGAAGTTTTTCACAAGTTGTCTTATTTCTGAAAACCTGTTACGTTCAGAAAAAGCTCAAAAGCAGGTTAGCATAACTTAATTATCTGCATTTTAATTTTTAGATTGAGTATTGATAGCTAGATTGTTTCTTCTGGTGAAATTCCTCTTATGAAAGTTTCTCAGAAATTTTGATTTGCATCTTCAATCAAGTTCAGTAAAAGGCAGCCTGAACATTGCAAATAAGTGAATCTAAAAGTGGCAGTTACAAGAATTTGTGTTTACCCAAGAATTTAGTATTTAGCAATGAAAGATAGGCAAGTAATATTTTATAGGAATAATAATAATAATAATAATAATAATAATAATAATAATAATAATAGATAAATTAGGCACTCTACTCCAAGGGTAACCTGCTGGCACTAGTACCCCCTATGATGCCTGCAAAAGATCCTGGGTATCCTATGCCTCCTCCAAACTCCACCATTCACAAGACACTGTTTGCTGTTCCTGTTTACTTCTTGTTGGCACTGCCTTAACTACTTCTGCACTGAACATGTTGCCTTGAACATGCTCATATTTCATAGATAGGAAGGACTGGACATCCATCTTTCCATATGTTCTGAACAGAGGAGAGATGCAGATAGGTTCTCGGAGAGTGAGTGCAGCAGTGGTTGATTTGGGTACTTTTTAAACCCATTAATGGAGTGGCATGCCGTCACCATTCTGTGGTCTAGTCTCTTTATCTGCAATTTTAAGGCCCCCCAAATGTTTGACAACTCCTGTGTATGCAACCCCTGCATATGCAAGCAAGGCAAAATACTCCTTCTTGGACCACCACCCTTTGGACCACCACCCATACACTGTTCTTGATTGAGTAGGCCAGTGCCAGTACAGTGGTACCTCCGGTTACGTACACTTCAGGTTACATACACTTCAGATTACAGAATCCGCTAACCCAGAAATAGTGTTTCAGGTTAAGAACTTTGCTTCAGGATAAGAAAAAAAAATTGTGCTCCGGTGGCGCAGCAGCAGCAGGAGGCCCCATTAGCTAAAGTGGTGCTTCAGAACAGTTTCAGGTTAAGAACGGACCTCCGGAACAAATTAAGTACTTAACCCGAGGTACCACTGTAATGGTGGAGGAAACTCCTCTGAGAGGAGCATCAGAGTGTTTCTTTTTTCTAGGCGGTGGAATATGGTTCAATGTTCTTGTAGGGCAGGTGAACTAAGAATAGAAGAGAAGCAGAGAGTGGGAAGAATGAGACACCTCCAAGAACGAAGCTGTGTGTGATCTTGAGGTTTTGAAGTTTGTTCTGGAGATTTTGTGTGTTAAAAGCAATATAATTGTTGAATGCTGTGTTGTTGATAGTGAGGACATATTCTGTGAAGCCGTTCATTCTTTCTTATTGACTCTCTTCAATTCAGGATAACTTAGACCAGCAGCAACGTTCATCCAAAGATGGGACGCCACAGATAAGGTCACCAAAAAAGAATCCTCCCTCACTTGAGAGGAACAGGCAGGGCCTAGCAGCAAAAACGTATGAGCAGCCCACAGTAGCCTCTCTTTCTCGATCTCCCTCTCCTTACACAAAAAGGCGAATGTGTGAGCTTCAGCAACTTAGACAACGCCTGGCCCATCTAGACCTAGGACCTTTTGATTTCAGAAAAGAATCGGATAGACCTCCATTTGTAGTTCGACGTGTATGTATGCCCTACAGCAATTCCAATTTAAGCCAGGAGCAAATCTTGCTGTTCACAGTTACTCTAAGAAGCCTTTCATTCAGCTCTTTCTCTTTGTGGCTGCTTATTTTCTCCTAAGCGCTCTAAATGTAAAATAATTCACTACTCAAGTTCTTTTGTTGATTCTGGCAGTTGACAAAGAACCTGTTATTTCATGAGTGCCATGTTGAATTATTTGTGTGTCTATTTTCCCACTGCACTGGATAGCACAATGGTTGTATAAATTCTGCTTGATAGTAGCTGAAAGTTCTAAAAGGGCTAAAGCCCTTATGTTTATGTGTGTGTGTTTTAATTAGGCTACATTTGTAAAACAAGGAAAACTATAAAAAATAATAATTCTGGAGAAATGTCTAATGTCATGATTTTGTTAACCAGGATTGTGATGTGCATGGCCAAATGAAGGCCTCAGGCCACACATATTTCTGGGTTTGAAAGTGTATCCAATGGATTTCCAACTATTTTCTTCCTAAATATCATATAATGTGTAAATTTTAATGTCTTTGATTCTTTCAATAAGGCACTTTAAAAAGGCATTATTTAGACATAATGACAAACAAGTGTGTATGACAAACTGAGGTAATGATAATATAATTTGGCAGGGCTGGGAATATGGAAGTCTAATAGCTTGCACTTCTGTTTTTAGCTAATCATAATTACGTGATATGTCTGAACCTAGACAAACTGTGGTTGGTCTTAACTGCAGCTTATGGAAACAAGCCAACTTCAAACCAGGAAGCTGGCTTGTTTCCATAAACCATACTTTAGATTAATCATAGTTTAGGATTCAGATGTAAAACTAAGCTGCAATTAAACAGCAATGGAAGCATAAGCGACTAACCTTATGGCAAGGCCGTAGGGTAAGGAGGAGTGCACGAGTCCAGCACTCATGCATTGAACAATAAACCATTGTTTGTATGTCCAAACTGGGTCACTGCATACAGACACACATTTTACACCATAAATAAAACACTTTAAAAATTATTTATTTTTCAGCCAGAACAGCTGTCAGCTTCACCTGATGTTTTTACTTGGTGCCGTCCTAAGGACAATATAAAAGATGCTTGGCCCGAGACAACCTACGGTAAGCACTTTTTTTGTATACAAAAGATGTGTGCAATTATAGACACAAACATGTTTATATTTTACAATGTGTAATTACTACAGTGGCCTGAATTTTGTCTCTGTTCTAGTTCATTTTAAAAATCCAGTATCTGATTCCTTACATTCTTGGTAACAGCATAACACATTTTTGTAAATATTGCTAGTGATGAGATAATTCTAAAAGATCTTAGCTTTTTAACAGGAGCAAATACTACTTGTGTATTCCTTGTTGATATGTACCATCTTCCTGACTGGGGAGTCTACAAATCTTTTTGCCTCATTCCTTACAATCTAGACATTTTGTGTTTCATATCTCTCACTTGACTTTAGAAATACAACCCCATACTCCTCTAAAGTCAGCCTTCACTGCTGACTGTGTTTTCAGGAAGTCTCACTGAGCTTATGATCTCTTATTTCCCATTTACACCCCTTGGATTATCTGCTCTGTTGCTTCCAGTAATCCATGGATTAGAGTTGGAACCTGTTAGAGAAAAGCCGTGTTGAAAGCCATTGCAATTCCATATCGCGTTCTCTCGCGGTGTTACCACCTGTCATGTTCATTTGCAATTAAGGCACTATACTGCTTTGAAACATTTCTGTTAGGTTTTTGGCATTTGTGCATACTTTTATATGGATTTTTGTTTGTGTGTCATAGTCTCTAGGGATCAAAAACGAGGTCTCAATTATTGTTTAAGAGTCTCAGGGTAGAGCATCAGATAAGAGAGCCCTTTTCTTTGTAGATCATCCCCGGGGTGGAACGTAATTTCCCTCTGTGAACCGTTCCGCTTGAGAGAAGAACCTTTCCACGTAAGATAATATTATCCACATCCTTGTTTGCAGTGTGGCTTGAACTTTGGTGCATCACATCATTCTCATGTTAACTCTCCTAGTACCCAGAATTTCTGTCTCTCCCTGTTCTGCTGAGTGGCATGGAGGCTGCCCAGCATGGCTTTCCCCCATGTCACAAGCTTGCAGTCATGCCAGAAGAGTTCATGCAGCAAGATTTATATCTTTTAAAAATGTCAGAGTTACTTTATAATATACCAGTATGGGCAGTTGCTGAGACAGGAATTTCTCCCACACGTCCACAGGCTTTCAGTGTTAACCTAGTGGCCCATGAACCTAACAGTAACATGAAAAAGAGGTCCTATGTAATTCTTTTGCAGTGCAGTCCTTTACAGCAGTGGTTCCCAACCTTTTTTGATCCACAAGTCCAAATTTACTTGATATGGTGACCCATTATTTTATTGATACATACATTTCAGACCTTAGGACTAAGGCAGCCAATTAGTTTCATGCATTTTAACTGCAAGTTTGCCTTTTCTATCCAAGTCAATTAATACCCCCTATTAATGTGGGGGCGGGGAGTGTGGTGTTGATACAGTCCCAAGGATCAGAGGTTCCCTACCTCAGGTGTATAGAATTGCAGCCTAATACTGTGACTCCTGTTAATAGGTGTTACAGTAGAGACCCAATCCATTGCTATTTGTTGTGAACTTACTTTTTTACCTCTGTGCTGTGTTAAGTGATAATTACTAATGAATGAGGTTTTTTTTAATTTTAAAAAAATGAACATTGTTTCTAATATTTTTGTATATGTGGTTTTTTACCTGTAAGCAGCATTTTGGTCAGAAAATTGGATGGAAATACATATAAATGCTAATAATAATGTAAGCTAACAAATAAAGCTGATCTTGATTGTTAGTACTGTATTGGCTTTAGGTTGCTTCCAGCGAGATTTTATTAATACGCTGCTGATGTCTTATAGCAGGCATAGACAAACTCAGCCCTCCAGATGTTTTGGGACTACAACTCCCATCATCCCTAGCCAACAGGACCAGTGGTCAGGGATGATGGGAGTTGTAATCCCAAAACATCTGGAGAGCCGAGTTTGCCTATGCCTGTCTTATAGGGCTGGCTCATTTCTGCTGCTGCCTCCCAGCTGCTCCAGTGTGGAGGCTCAGTTGTGGCTCCTGGTGTTAACAAATGAGGTCACCTAGAAGTTGGGGTACCTGGGGAAAAGAAGGAGAATAAATCTTCTGTGGATTTTTAGGAGGCCTGGAGAGAGTTGGTGAGGCTAGGGGAATAGAAACCGATTCTCTCTCTGCATGTACAAGAGTGGGACTTGCCCTTACAGTGGGACTATAAGGGTGAAGGGTTGTTACTTAAAAGGACCCAGAGTGGGAAAGAAAAGTTGACAGGGATTTTTTCCCCCTTCTGTGAGGGAATAGAGATGACAACAGCCTGTAGGAGAGCATGGAGCAGTGGGCGGAGAAGACAGAATCCTTCTCTCCACTGGGGAAACAGACCTGCCATGGGGTGAAAAACTCTTAACAAGATCCCATGACAGTAAAAGGGAAGGCTTAGATACGAGAACAAACATTATTGTGCTTATTTTTCCTATTAATTTTCTGGGACCCTTTTGTGGAGTTGCTTCCTGTTGGTCCTGAAAAATCCTTATAAGAGAATATTTAGTTCATTTCCCAAATGATGCTCTTTTGTAAGGAGCTTCATTTGAAGAATGGAAGGAAGATTAACACATCCCAGAAAAATTGAACCAGAAAAGCTGTTGTCTTATGTGGAAAATCTATTCAGCAGAGATATTTCAATGGAAGTATCATGTTTTATCCCAAGTGTTTTACACTGCTGAAGCATTCACGCATCCAGAGACTGATACATTGGTTTGAATAACTAATTATGTCCCAAACTCAAAATTATTTCACTGTCCAAACAGTTTATGTGCTCAGTTACCATTAATACTGTGTGGTAATCAAACAAGCCCCTGTTCTCAGAGGTTGCAGTTGAAGGTAGTGCAGTAGGACTAATACTTTGGGGACTTTTTGAACATTGGTATTATAAATGTGCACTATAAAAGCAAAGACACGTATTTGCAAATTAGACATTATCTTATTTTATTTTTTAGATCCTACCCTTCTTGGCAGTTATAGACCCAAGAATCGAAAAGTAAGTACTGAAAAGGAGGTTGCATAATTAAAGCTGAATGTGATGAGCTGAGTAAAACTATCTTCGCTGAGTGGCTTCCTGCTGTATAATGTTATTTCCTTACCATTGACAATTCTATATTTTGCGTTGTTAAAATATGTCAGCCTCACAAATTTTGAGGAAAAATTGACTGCTGCAATGAACACGTAAAATCTGAAGCTGCCTAGATGAATCTATGTAGCCAAGTATTGTCAGCTGCAACTTTCCAAGTCCTAACTCAAAGGACTGTCCCAGCTCTCCTCAAGATAAATGTCATTGCATACATTGATTGTTGGACACTGACTTATGCCAGTGTCAGAGTGACCTCTTTATAAATGAGGATTCTGGTGATGATTCACAACTAAGGCTGCAATCCTAACTCCACTTGTTGGGGACTAAGCCCCAATGAATTCAGTAGGAGTTACTTCTGAGTAGACTTGGTTAGGCTTGCTGCCTAAATGATCTATTGCAGTGTTCCCCAACCTTGGGTCTCCAGCTGTTTTCGGACTACAATTCCCATCATCCTTGACCACTGGTCTTGCTAGCGAGGGATGATGGGAGTTGTAGTCCAAAAACAGCTGGAGACCCAAGGTTGGGGAACACTGATCTATTGGACACAATCAATTCACCATCATGCATAGTGGCTCTTAGGACAGCCTTGTGAATAAGCCTGCAAAAATATTTAATCCCTGCTAAGAGGCTTATCTTATCAGGGACGCGGGTGGCGCTGTGGGTAAAAGCCTCAGCACCTAGGGCTTGCCGATCGAAAGGTCGGCGGTTCGAATCCCCGTGGCGGGGTGCGCTCCCGCTGCTCGGTCCCAACACCTGCCAACCTAGCAGTTCGAAAGCACACCCCCGGGTGCAAGTAGATAAATAGGGACCGCTTACTAGCGGGAAGGTAAACGGCGTTTCCGTGTGCTGCGCTGGCTCTCCAGATGCAGCTTTGTCATGCAGGCCACGTGACCTGGAAGTGTCTCCGGACAGCGCTGGCTATAGGCGCTGGCCCATAGAGTGAGATGGGCGCACAACCCTAGAGTCTGTCAAGACTGGCCCGTACGGGCAGGGGTACCTTTACCTTTACCTTTTAAGAGGCTTATCACTTGTGTTTCCATGGTGGCAATGGAGGAGGAGAAGTCCTGTTCTCTATGGCCAGCATGAAAACACGAGTTACTAGCCCTGTAACAGAATAATAAAAACAAAAACCCCTGTGCCTTCTACCAAGTGAACCAGCACAAAACTGATGGACTGATCCTTCCTCCTGCTATCCTGCTGCATTTCCATGCTGGTTTCAGAGAACTGCTCCATCAACTGCAGCTTGTAAAGGTGTTGTGAAAATATTGTGTAGTTGGAAGAGTTTGGCAGGGATGATTGGAGTAAAGTGAGTATCTGCCTAAACTTCAATCTCCTTGACAGTTGAGTCATTTCTGTGCTCAATTTTAAGGGTAGGTTATCACCTCTAAAGACCTGAGCAGCTTGGACCCAAAATATTTAAGGAACTGTTTCTTCCCATACGTTCTTGTCCTCTGTCCTAGGACAATGGAAGAGGCCATTTTTCTGCGCTCCAGCGCCTTTCAAATTTCAGTAGGCAGTAACACAGGCAAGGGGCTTCACTTCCGTAGGGCTGTGGAACTTCGGGAGATCCTTCTATCTGGCTTCCTCTCTGATGGATGCCAGCTCAAAATGTTTACATTCTGGCATGCCTGTGGCCTGAGAGGTTTCTGCTTTGTTTTTGTATTTACTAAACTGTTTTTATAACGTGTTTATTTTAGATACATGTTGAAGTTAGGCACCTTGAGACAAGCACACTGTTTTAAAATTTATATCCTATCTTGACTTGGGCAATCCTGCCATTCATTGCTTAAATCTCAAAAAAGGATTTTATTTGAAGGCATGTTATTTCATTTTCATTGCATCTAAATCTTGGTAGAATCTCATTTACTGTGACATTTTACTAAATATGGCCAACACTTTTGTCTTAGGGTTGCATCCAACAGTCATCCCATTAGCACAATTCTGCCTATGCAGTGGAACTTCCCCCTCCATCTGTTCAGGGTGCGGGTTTGCACAGGGAGAAGAGAGGAAGGCCTGTTGTGCAAATGGAAGTCCTTGCACTAATAAGACAAATATGCTGGGAACAACCCCTTACCTTGAAGTAATTAAATAAAATATCCTTCAGGCAGTCACCAGAATTTTCAAAATCTGAAGTGGAAATTTCAAATATGTGGATGACCTGAGAGATGGCATTTAGGGTGCAAAGGACTGTGATTCCTTTGTTGTAGTGTTCTAGCTATGTCTGCTGCTTCAGAGTTTTAATATACAAAAACCATGTTTTCATTGTACTGCAATACTCAGTACTGTAGTACTCAGGTATAGCCAAGATGTTAAACATACTATGTATCTTTCTTTAAAATTATGCTCCTCTTTTTTTTGTTTCCGGCAGGCTACCAGGTCACATTCTGATAAAGACCTTCATAGTTTTTCTCACGCTTACGATGAGCACTTGATTTCGAGTATAGCTGGTAGGCAGCTCCATTCAACTCAACTGCTAATGCATTCAGCACCTCCACAACTGCAGAAGTATTACTCAACTCCTGTGTTTAATTGCTTGTCTCTTAGAGAAAGGTAATGTCATTTATCCACAAAATCTGAACAAATGTGCTGTCTTCTCAGTGTTACCTGTATTTTTAGTATTTCAGGTGGTTTTTACCGATAAGTTAACAACTTAAGGTTTGTTGGCGTATTGGCACATTTCTGGTATGGTGAGAATTAAAATCTTAGGATGAAGTGTCTCTAGCAGTATGCCCGTGTAGTGATATATAAGCCATGCGGCAACATTGGCATCTAATTGGCATATTAATTTGGCATTGATATTCCAGAGTTGAGATGCAAAGCAGCTGACCCTATTCAAGTACTCCTACTGGTACAGTCCACCTGAGGAACGCTGTTACCTTCTTTCATAAATGCCTTTAATTCCCATTGTATGTACAGTACTATTCAGTTCAGTGTTGAGGGTTAAAACAGTCAGCCACTTTCAGCAGGACAATTATATGTCATCTATCACATTCCAAATTTCCTCTCAGCTTCATCAGTGGCTTGCATTTCTGACTGCAAGAGGCTGATGGGGAGGGAACACCAAGTGGAAACACTTTCACACTGGAAGCTGAGTTTGCCTGTCTTGCCTCTCCCACCTTGCAGGTATTTTATTCACTTGAGAGCTACTTGAGCTCTTGTTCTGTGGCTCTTTGCCTGTTGTTGACGCTATGGCACCAAGGTCTGCAGTGTCAGCTACAGTCGTATTAATCCTGACTCTTTGGAGTGGATGGCAATGTGCTCTCTGTATGGAAGTGGTCTGAGTGGCATGGGCACCTTGTTGTGAGTGGGCAGATTCCATTGGATAGTGGAATGTTTGTTTTGCATTTGGTCTCTGGCGTTTTGCATTATTGTATTTTTGCTGATGTTGTCTTGGTTGTTTGTAACAGATGAGGTGACATTACGCATGTTACAATGTGGATATTAACTTACATGCAAAACAGATTCTTTAGTTTTGTTTTTAAAAATTGTCGTTCCGTTCAAAATTCATAAATTGTCAAAACCATTCAAAATATTACAATGTGACTTTTTCTGTACATTTTGTCATTTCTATGGTTGTAAAGTGCCTTGGGCACTGTAATGTAGAAAGGTGTTATATAAGTTAATCTGAATTGCTATGATTGTGTTGCAGATATCTGACACAGACTGCAGAGGAATTAGGAATGGTGGAAGCACTTGGTTCTCTTCCAAAGCGGTTTGCAGAATCTATTCATTTCTCTTTGTCAAAACTCCCGAATGATTGTGAGATTTAAAATAGATTCTGCTATTCATTCTGGACATGTATGCATGTCTGGAGCTTCAGATGTAGCAAGTGAAAGGTGACAGTGCTACTTCTTCATCACTCCTGAGGTCTCATGGTGAGTGTTGTGCTTCCTGGGGAAGTGTCTACACCGCCTGCAGTGTGCCTCATGCCAATTTTGGAACAGGCCCAGATCCCACTGCAAAGAGACATACCCTGGAGACCTTTTAGAAATGTTTCCATCTCAGCTGGTACCTGAGGTTCTGGCTGAGACTATGGATTGGAACATAACTTCTACCAAGAATGGACAACTATCCCTAGCTCACCTGTAAAACTAAAAAATCTTTTTTCCTCCAAGCTCTCCACCAGCAATTCCCCCTTCCAAATAAACACATTTAAGAACAAAGCAGGAAGGTAACTAGCAACAGGAAAACACTTTTCTTGCATCTCCATTAACTGGAAATGACTTGGAAGCATTGGTTTTTTTTGTCAGGGATGGTGAAACTTGTAGTTTTCTTTGCTTCCCGAACTGAACTAAGAGACGGGAGAAATGACAAACGAAATCCCACATTCCTTGACCTCTGAGTCATTTCCAGTTAAGGAGAGGCTAGAAAGGTCCCTACTGATGAATCTGGACTGCATTTGAAATGGGACTAAAAGGAGTCCCGCCTCAAGATTTTCCCACAACAAGCATGCAATGCTCTTCTCTGTTTCGTGCTGATTCTGAATAGCAGCATCTGAGGTGAAGATGTGGCCTTAGAAGACAATAAGAGCCTGAGCTACAAATAAGGCAGTCTGATACAGATATCCATCTTACGTATAGACATCTCAGTAAGCTAGAAAATGGATTCTCTCAGCTACAGATCTCAGTCATTGAGATGGAGCTGTGAGCAGAGTGCCAATGATTCTACGAGGTGATACAGGCATAGAGAGAGGCTTACAGTTTCCTGTCGTTATAGGGGACTGCATATCTTGGGGATTGATTCACCCAGCGTGATGTGACCTTGTCTGTTCTGCAGTTGACAGGTATCAAAAACTGCCTGGCTGGCCTAGAGAAACGGAAAGGTGCAGCTCATCACGAGCAGTTACTCTTGGCCTCTGTAGCTTGTCTGATATGGTTCATCAAGACTTGATCTTGTCTGCTGTAGGTCAGAACAATAGATTTCCAAAGTGTTTCTTGAGAAGGTTGGCTATTGTAATGCTCACCACATCATTCTTTGTATGCCAGATGCTCTAACCTACTTCCTTTCATATTCAGACTACTGTGAAATATTTGTCAAAACAGATGGAGTGATTTTACTTGAAATGGCAGTAGGTTTGGCAGCCTCCATTTCTGTTTTTAATGCTTTCCAGAGGTGATCTGTTCATACAGCTTTCCAAGAGCTGGTATGGTAGCGCAGGATATCCACAAGCACTTGGGAACATTTTTTCCATCATAGTGTCCATTGTTCTGTGGGCAAGGGGAGGCATTGGCTACCTTCCTCCTCACTGGGTGTGGTGTGGCAGTGCCTTCTGGGTGAGTAGTTTGGTGGGGAGGCCCAGTATCCAAGCCATGAGCAACTCTTTTAAATACAGGTGTTCAGGCTGGTAAACATTTTGTACTTGGAAAGCTGTAGTGTGCTGTTGATAGGGAGACAGAAAGCTGTAGAAAAGCTTTTCTTTTTAGCAGCACTCTTTCCACCACACACCCAACTGCATTTACCTCCAGAAAGAAAATTACAAGCAGTACAAACACATCCCTTTTTCTGGCAAGAATGACCACGGTGAACCTGAAATGGTATCTAAATCTCTTTCCTTTCTAGGATTATGGGACAAAGTGAAGGATGGGAGGCCCCTGAGCAGGCACAGGGAGTCTTCATTTCCTGTGTTCCCTCCTTAAGCCCAGCCTAATGTGTAAATCAGGCCTGAATTCACTGGGAGGGGGAATCATAAGCGACCTCATTTTATCTAATCTCTGATTTAATTAATTCTTGTTGCATTGTTTCTGATTTCGTATGGTTTGATATAGCTGTCTTCCATTGGATTATTCCAGGGCTAATTTCTTGGCATCTAAAAGTGCTCCTTGTGTACTGAATGACTCTTGCCAGGCCATATTACGTTTAAATTAAATCTGGTTTTGTTAATGAGCATAATTGCATTGGTAAGCTCTCAGAGATTCGCTTTTGCAGTTGTAGTTATCCATGGAGCAATTTCTCCCCTTCTCCCCCCGCCCTTTCTACAATAGTTGCTTGCTCAGTAGATGTGCATCTGCTACTATAGTACTTTATTGATTTTTACCCTGTGATAGTTTGTCCTTGTATGTTTTTTCCTCCTTCTCCTCTCAGCACAAATCCTCTGCCTTTTGAAACTGATAAATTCTTCATGGAAGCCACAGAAGTGCAATTGCACTTCTTGTTGTGATACACTATGGCAGGGGGAAAGCACTACATTAAGAACCACAAATGATTTTTGCAGAATGTGCCTATAATAACTTTGTTGATATGAGATACATTAGTATTCCTTGCTAATAGAGGATTTGAGCATTTATTGCTAGAAATGCTGTCTCTGAAAATACATACCCATTGCAAACTATAGAGTGGTAAGCTTCTATTTAAACAGTTCATGTGGACAAATCTTATTTTTTGTACATCTGAGGCTGCGGTCATATAGGCACTTACCTGCAAGTAAGACTCATTTTGAATTTACTTCAGAGTAGACATGAATAGGATTTCACTTAAATTGTCTACCTTATCCTGATGAATATGTAAAATTTAGATTGGCCACATTGATAAAATTTCTGGATTTGTTCCTTGACTTTTTTTGCTGAAAAATACAATTCTGCTTATCATTTTTTAAAAGTCCTTATAAAAGAGGGAAAATGCTTTTAGCTACATTACAACAGAAAATAGTTTGTTCTGTTGATTGCTCTCGACATAGCATCTTTGAAATGAATTATGAGTAGTTCTATATTGATCTGGCTTACTCTAGGTCACCGAGCTATATATCCAAAGTGTTTATACAATCTATTGGAATCGATAAACAATTTAAACTGATGTAACTGCAGAATGTTTGCTAGTCCCGAGGAAAATTGGAAGTATGACAAAGAATACAGTTGTAGAAGTTTATTTGGTTTTGTCAGAGTAAAATAATACAACCATTCTGGCAGCACTGCAAGAAACTACCAACACCTTAATCCCATATGTAAGAAGTTGGCGGTTTTACACAAGCATTATTTGAGTCTTTATGCTTTAGAAATTCTGTTTATTTATAGTTTTAAGAAATTGCTTTTTGAAAATGAGCTTCAGAGAATAACTCCAGTAGGAGTTGCACATCATAAAATGGTTTCAATTTAGATTATGGGTGTTAAATTTTAGCTTTAGCTTTGTTGTATGGTGACTTTGGGTGGTGTAAATATTAATGTAATGGCTTAAAGTGTGGATTAGGTTTTATAGTTATGTCTAAAATTAGACAATTAAAAAGGAGCTGATACTGTTTTTATTAATACCTAAATTTTTGAATGTAGAAAATTGAGGTGTGTGTGATGAGTGAACATTTCTTATGCCACAGCGCACACTAGTGGATTATTTTGTCATTTCACTAAAGAAATGTCCATAGGGATTTACAGGGTTTTTTTGTTTTAAGGGGCGATATTAGTCCTCACTTTGTCCCTCTCAGGGATAATATTGTGACAATTACAGGAAGCTTCAGTTTGTGACAAATACAATGCATCAGATAGTTGGAAAATGAAGCACACTTGGCTTCAAAGTCATGTTGAAATGATGCTTCGTAACCATGTTTAGCATTGTGCTGTACATCTCTTTGCCCCATCATTTAGTAAACATCAATACTTATATTTCTTTTTTGAATATTTTAGAAATTTAGATAATGAATATGCAGAAATCAATATTTGCTTAATATATTCCTCTAATGTAGCATACATTGCAGAATATATACTATACGTTACTGGAATTAACAGTAAGTTTTACACTTGATAAAATGAGGCCATCATAAGAGAGAACCATTTGACCTTGTATCCATTTCTAAAGATCAAACGGTCCCATAACTTAAAATCTTCCCTTTTTCTCTTTTGATTATAGGTTTCGTTCTGGCTGGAGTGCAACAGTAAATGGAGAAGAGATCCATAAACGAGTGAGAAATATTTTAAGGACTCACAGTGCAAGGCAAAGGCTAACTTTTGTACGTTTCCCCCTAAAGTGTTATGGAGAAAATACCCACCCACCCCCGCTTTTTAAAAAAATGTTTCCTTTCATTAGTACATGGGGATAACTTTTATAACATATATGAAAATTTTTTGCCATTGAACGTTGTATCTGTCATGGAACTATTCATGACATTATGTCTTTATGTACAAATTGCTTTGTGAAACACATTGTACCTTTGGGTCCTCTACAGGATCACATGGTGACCTCTGGCCACCCATTTCCAGATGCTCCCTTTTCTTCCTTACCCTTTCTTTTTTCTCGTTCCCACCCCTTCTGCGCATGTCAATGGAAGAGCCAGTAGTTTGCTTACCTTACGCTGCATTGCCACTGTTTTCATGTCTCTGGTGGCTGTTAAGTGTTCGTTTTGATCAAGATTTAATTTTTTTAATGAAATAAAAATACATATAATTGTGTTTCTTTTTTTAAAGGACTACATTTTTCAGTCACATGAGATTATCATCTTTGTATTGATTCCTTAGGATGAGAGTTGTTTGTCAAAAGATGATTCTGCTAAGTCAAGAGACTCAAGTAAGACAGAAGATTCCAATAAGAAGAAAGACATTTCAGACAGAGACCGTTTAAGCCACAGTGATCTTCAGAGCAGGTAAAGCTCCTATTCCTATTATACCCCCTTGTCCTAGTCCATACTTAGCTTTTCCATTCACTGCTGTCATTGCAATTGTTACCAAAATACTCCTTATCTATGCCTGTTGCAGTTGGAATAAATTATACAAGTGAACTAGACTTGTATAACTTTCTAAACCAATCCATGCACAGAATTGGTTTACACTTGAAGCACAGCCCACCATAACCCTAGGCGCTCTTAAGTCTATTGATTTAATCTGCCGCTATTCTCTTCCTTTTCATGTTGCCAGAATAATATGAGAAGCCAGGGCTGCTTCTCTTACTATCCTGTCAACACCTCCCCTGCCTCTCATACTCTAAGCCTCGTCTTGTCAGCTGATGCAAGCAAAGCTATGTGCATATGTCTGGCGATAGTTTGGGACACGGGGATCATTTTGGGACCTACAGGCATGAATAAAGAATCTGCAACAACTACTGCCACAGCATTAGCGAAAACGATGGACTTTGAAATGTCATATGCAAGTAGGGTCTGGGTATTGATGGGTTCATCACATTCTGTGGAGCAGTTGTGAGAGTTGGGGATAAAGAAAGGGACTCAAGGACATTCTGACAGCTTGAAGTCTGCCAGCGTCCTCATAAATAACCGTACCAAGGCAGAGTTCAGAGGAGAATGTAGTTTTGCTGACCAAATGTTCACACTAAAGTAAATGATTGAAAACCATTGGGACTGCACAGAAGGTCCGTGATGCTGAAATATTTAAAGTGCAAGTGACTTTGAAAGGAACTTGTGGGACTCTAAAGGAGATGGAACAAAAGCATGTGACAGGTATATGACAGGTATTTCCGAAAGTGGAGCTGAGTGCAGCTACCCTGCTCTTAATATGATTTGTGCATGTAATCCCCAGATCACTTCAGCTCAGCTTGTCAGGATAGTTTCCAGTTAAGGCGGCAGACTGACGTTTTTCTAACATGGATGTAGCTATGTCCGTTCCACTGTTGAATTTCTTATGAGGAAGGGATGACTAATGGCCATGCACCAAAAGTGAGCACACTCAAAAAGTGTGACATTGTCAGTATGTTGACGTGGAAATCACAGGAAGTGCTGCCGCTTTTCATGAGCGTATCTCAGACTGTCATGATGACTGTGGTTCTAGGTGAAAAAGTCTGGATTTTATGGAACCAGAGTTATGGGTGCTATTCCTCATACTGTGCTCCTGTTCTGCCTCCATTCACTGCATTTTACCTTACTAATAAGTAGTACATGGTCAGCTGGGCTTCAAATATAAAGCTAAAGCCTGCAAGTTTTATCATGGTCTTGTTTAAAAGGGCCATTACATGGCTATATAGTACTGATAAACAGTTCCTTTTTCTCATCCACTTTAGCATCCAGGAAATATGTATATGTGTGTGTGTGTTTTATTTATGGTATTAAAAGGTAAAGGTACCCCTGCCCGTACGGGCCAGTCTTGACAGACTCTAGGGTTGTGCGCCCATCTCACTCAAGAGGCCGGGGGCCAGCGCTGTCCGGAGACACTTCCGGGTCACGTGGCCAGCGTGACATCGCTGCTCTGGCGAGCCAGAGCCGCACACGGAAACGCCGTTTACCTTCCCGCTAGTAAGCGGTCCCTATTTATCTACTTGCACCCGGAGGTGCTTTCGAACTGCTAGGTTGGCAGGCGCTGGGACTGAGCAACGGGAGCGCACCCCGCCGCGGGGATTCGAACCGCCGACCTTTCGATCGGCAAGCCCTAGGCGCTGAGGCTTTTACCCACAGCGCCACCCGCGTCCCTTCATTTATGGTATTAATATACCTTAAATAGGTGGACCTCACATAAGACTATTGGCACAATAAGCAATAATTAAAAGGTTACAATAAAATAGACAATACAAGAGTTTAGAAGCAGCAGTATCGGCTTCTTCTCTGCTCCCCTCAGGGCAAAATGAAACTAATCTGTTGGTCAATCCAGTTGTCTCTCATCTAAAGGATAAATCATATGCTGCCTGCTGTGATGCAAGTTATCACCTACATTTAAAAATGATCTGCATTCAGCTGGACTTAAGTTCCAAGCTGCTTCTTAGATTAGAGGTCAGGACAGAATTATGGAAAACTTGGTATTTGAATCAAGCAGTGGGTATTGCACTCAAATGCTGACAAGGTGCTTAGGGCACAATCAACTCTCAAGCAGGTATGATATTTATCTTGACCAGTGAAAGCCATCCAGGGGATGCTGACTCATCTACTAGTTGAAATGACCAGTATCTCTTTTTATGAGAGCAGTGTAGAAAACTGTGACTTGGGAGCCACTATTCGCATGGTAGCATTCCATACTATTAGGGTAGGTGACTATAAGCAGGCATGTAGCTAGGGTCTATCAGAGTGCTTGTTATGGAAGACCAATATAATCGGCCCTGTCCAAAAGTAACTTAATTCAGCTCAGAAGCCACCAGGTGCGTGTTGGAGACTGGGTGGATCAAAACCTATAAAAATAATCTTGGGCTCATAGATGCTGAGGTGATTGACAAAGTGACTGTATCAGAAACTAATCAAGTGAATACAAACATATCTGCACATAGAAAGAAATGACACTGAACAGTCATTTTCCATATTTATGAAACTATAGAAGGATCCAGTATATTTCTGAGGTGAGACACCTGTAGAGTATACTCAGAAAGTGCAGTCAGGACAGGTTTTCTTTAATATTGTCTATTTTGGAAATAGCCGTGTAAACAAACCTTGTAGGCGTCACTCAAATGCCTATGCTACTTAAAGAGTAATCAAATAATAAATGTCCTTCACTCTTTTCCTTTTTCAAAAGATCACATTTTAATAGATGTGTGTTTGGGGTTTTTTTGGGTATTACTAGTTCATCTATACGGCAGAGCATCATGGTTCAACTGGATGATGATGACTATTGGACTAGTCAAGCTGCAGAATATAAAAGCAAACCCCACAGAGCAATCTTTGAAGACAGTCTGCAGAAAATCTATCGAAATATGTACCGAAAAGCTTCTGGATCAAAATCAAAGAATAAATAAATTCCTGATAGTGATGCAGGTGAAAATGAACAGTATAAAAGATCAATATTTGTAATGAAAATGTTGTGTGTCTAACAAATGTTTGTTTCTCTCTCTCTCTCTCTCTCTCTCTCTCTCTCTCTCTCTCTCTGTTTTTATATGCGTTTGTGAAATTCTGAGGCTGGGACTCTCAACAGGAAAATAAATAAAATCTGGAGGGTTTTAAGTAGGGTACATTGTTTGTTTATGGGATTTATAGGCATGTTAGTAGTTTTGGATCCCCATTTCTAAAGCATCTGGCTTCCAATTGAATTAGGATAAATTGCACACATCTCCACTACATCGCTGTCCATGTAGGTATGTGTCTTGCCTAGAGCACTAATAGAGGCACATGTGGAAACAGTTGTTCTATGGTTGCAATGTGTTTCCAATACTGTGCTACTGAAAGGTATCTGTTGGGCTCTTTTTCGGGGGTGTTATATCATTCAGCATGTCACCGAAAATCTGTGGATCTTGCAATGGTCTCTGGGCAAGTGGTGGGGAAGCCATGGACCTTTGTGTACTGGATGATTGTGTAAGTTCACTGTTGTGAATAGTGAGGAAGTTGCTATTGGGAACAGAGAATTGCATTCATTATCAATACAAGCAGCCAATAATAATGATAATGCCTACTTGGAATAACCACCACCACCTACAGGACATATGAGAGTTAGGGATGAGGGAGAGTGAACATAAGAAGCCTAATACAGTATTCAGAATTGATTTATAAGACCTGAAATATTGTCATGTGAACAATAGACCTTCCATATTTTGTCGTAAAAATCAAGTGATTTTGTGTGTGTGTTTTTGCCTGCAAATTTTTTGTTGCTGTTGTTGTCAGGCATGGGTGAAGTAAGCCAACTGTGCCAGTCTTCTGCACACACCGATGGGCTACATCTTCCTCCTTTCTCTCTGCTATTTTTTAATCATTATGCTTCTATTTGTAATCCTCTTTTAGCTTAATTACGTCAGCAGTATATCACTTCCCTTATATTTGCTCCCAATCATCCCTTGATCAAATAGGACCCAGTGTCCTTTCAGACTGCATCAGAGATATATCAGTTCATTGTTGGATATGAAAAAGAGCAAGGCTTTGAGCACATCAGCTAGTGCACCCACCCAAATGCAAACATTATGAATGTTCTGCACCTCAAACTGATCAAATTTGGAGTCTGTTCTTACAGGCTCAAGGGATGTATTGGCAGAGCGGCATTGGCAGAGCGGGCATCTCTCTTCTAAAGGCCACCAAATGTTCACCAGCAGTTTTGAAACATCCCCTGAGAAGAAACCTTTCCAGCCTTCCACTGAGTATATCCCATGCTAACAAATAAGGGCAGGCTGCCTGCTCTTTAGGCATTCAGAAATTTATAGAGGCAGGGGTGTTTGGCTTCTACTTCTTGTCAGAAAGGAAAGAAGTAAACATACTCCTTTTGGAATACTTATATCATTAGAGCATAGAAATAATAGATGCCCAAAGGTGGTTTCAGATTTATCTGAAAACAGTGTGAGGGGTACGCAATGCACAAGATTACCGCCTGCCTATCTCCATTTTATATTGTGTCTTTCAGAAAGTCTCCTATCTCTGCCAGCTCTGTACAGACATCTACATTTTGTCAGATGTCGATGGATTTATTTAAAGCATGGGCAGGTAACTTACAGGCCTGAAAGTGTTGCTGGATTGCAACTCTCATCATTCTTGACCATTGGCCAGCCAGCGGAGGCTGATGGGACTTGGGAGTCCAACCCGTTAGAAGTATTTTTATACCACCCCTCAGCAAAACTGACAGGATGCATGTAGTGGAAATCACAGGGCACTATTATTATTTATTTTCCAAATCTTCCATAGAGCTCAACATAAGAATACGTGGTGCCAGACTGACATCAACTTTGGTGCCAGGCAAGCCTTCCTGGAGATGGCATTCCATAAGCCGAATGCCACAACTCAGAAGGGCCCTCTCTCGTCATCACTCATCTCATGCTGGATGGTGGTGGGATCCAGAGAGGTACCTAAAATAACAAATGCAGTATTGAAGCAGGATCCTGTGTTAGACGGTGGTCCTTCAGTTATCCAGGTCTGAAGTCATTTACGTAAGTACCATCACTTTGAATTGTTCCTGCAGATGGACCAGGAGATAGTGTAGTGGACACAGAAAAGTTGTAATTCCAGCATATGGATGAATTTACAGAAAGGTGGATGAAACCCAGCAAAACATTATAGCCAACAATTACTTATGATCCATACAGGTCATGTAGTGTACTTTTGGAATGTCGGGTTGGGATACATATGTTGGGATGCATATGAGCCACCCAGAGTGGCTGGGGAAACCCAGCCAGATGGGTGGGGAATAAATGATAAAATTATTATTTAAATTATTATGTGAACAGAAAAGCCCTGAGTGTCAAATTAGACAAATTAATGCCAATAGGTGGGAAGGTGTTGTGAGTACCTTGTTTGGTGGCTTGCCCCCTCTGTATTACCCTTTAATTCTTTGCCTTTTGCTTTCAGGCCTGTTGAGCATGGTGGTCTTTATTTAGTATGAGGTGTAGCTAGAGCTGAGATGAGAGTGAGTTATTGGTATCACAGGGTGTTGATTTCCCTGTAGCAAGGCAAAGCTGTGGCTTTTCGCCTCTGCAATTGAAGCATTGGAGAGCTAGCGCTGTCCAATACCTTTTCCCTCCTCCTTGGCTTTTACACAACTCCTCCTCCACACCAGCAAAGCAATTCAGAATTTAAGCAGAATGACTTACACACAGAGGTGTAGGACATTATTATAGAACAGGCATAGGCAAACTCGCCCTCCAGATGTTTTGGGACCACAGCACCCATGATCCCTAGCTAACAGGCCCGGTGATCAGGGATGATGGGAACTGTAGTCCCAAAATATCTGGAGGGCCGAGTTTGCCTATGCCTGTTATAGAATATTGCTGCAGCACAATCCTGTTCCTAGAGATATTTACTCAGAAGTAAGCCCTACTGTGTTGAATGGGGCTTACTCTCTAGTAAGTGTATTTAGAATTGCAGCCTTTGAGTGGTCATTTACATCAATAGTGCAAACCCATGTGTGGTCTATTTCAGAGCTAAGTCCCACTTAATTCAATGGTACTCGCTCTCTGGTCACTCTTTTTCCAGTAGTTCCCTAAGAATCACTTTGCGCAATAGGTTGAGTTCCTAGTGATAGATGTCAAGACAAAAGAGGAGTGTCACCAAACATCCAGGAATAGATCTTTCCCCTTGTATTTTTATCACCGCAGTAGCTGATGGAACACTTGGACTGTTTCAAAATTTTGGGGTGAAGTTGCACCTGTTTCTGCCCATAATATTTGGCCCCACAAATATCCCTCACTTTTCTGCTTCACCTGTCTCTGCCTACAAGCCCTGGGCATGTTAATTATATAATTCTAAAAGTTGTAGAATAATACAGTCTGTTGAATGTTAATGATTATTTGAGATATGAAAGCAGGTAGAAATTCCTCATCCTTACCCATGTATAATCCCCAAATCACTTTCTGTGGTTGGCTAACCTTCTGTTAGCTGGCAAACAGCAGTGTGCATAGGGCAGACTCTGTCTCCTCTTTGACTTGCAGGGTGTGATAAGTAACATTTCAGGCAATGAACCAACATAGTAATAAACAGTAATTGTTTAGTGCACCTTGCCTTCTAATACAATTTAAATCCCTTCTATCAAATGCAAATGTCTAAGTTCCCAAGCAGCGCTTTAAATAACATTTTTCTGTGCTTGTTCCTTATCTTTTGTCATCCACAAAGTGGTGTGTTGGTGGCATGAGATGGCACAATTCCACCAGCTTCATTTTGCATCTTAAAAAGAGCTGTCTGCTCAAGTGCAGAAAAAACTGCTTCAATGAAGAGCGAGCTGGAATTTAGAGAAGAAATATTTTCTTTCCAAAATAAATAAGTAGTGTTGCAGCATGCGAAAATTCCTGCCAGGCATGGTATTTTCTGCAAACAATATAAAAATGTAATCAGCATAAAGCAGCAATTCCTTATATTGAAAAAGTGTTGACAATGTGCTCCGTGAGCTTAGAAATCGAAAGGAATGTAAAAGGAATCCCAAATGCTTTGTGGATTTAAGTATCTTAAAATTTCTAAGTGCGTGTGGTGTGCAGTGATGAACAAGTTAGCCACTTTCGATGCAGTTTTCATATAAGTGCAACAGAGGGTGGATGTAGAGAACAATTTACCAAATGGAAATTTAGCATTATAGTATGGAATCGTAATATCCCTTCAAATCACAAGATCTTTATCACAGATGAACACCAAATCTCAGCAACAAAATAATGGTGAAATTCTCAATGGCTAGATTAAGATATGGTGGCTGAAGTCACCCTGAGTGGTTAATTCCTTGGGCAGAAGCTTCTAGTGATCAGCAGTGAGATATGCCTAAATATTGGCATATTAATTGTATTGCAAGGATATGTTGTTTTCATAGGAACCAGCCCTTAGGGGCCGTGGGGGCTTTGGCCCCCACAAAAAAATATTTATGGGCATTTCCATTCAAATAGTGTATATGCACTGTGTCATGTGGTTGATTATGCAGGGCGGGGCTTAGCTAGACCCCTGCAATCTTTTATTCAATTTAGCACCTCTGGTTGTCTTATCCAGCCAATCTGGATTTAGCTCAGCCCGTTTGGAAATTGGGTTTGTATTGGGTTCATTTTGCAAATAATTTTAAGAATGCCATGGGATTTCCAAAAATGCATGGAGGTTTGGTATAGTCTGGAAGTTCTATATGCTGATCCAAAAATCCATGTGTGGTTGGACAGCTGCAAATCTGTCAGATGAGGGTGCTTCCTATTCATTTCAGTGGAGGACTCTGGTCCAGACACATGGAAATGCAAGATGAAGTTGTAGCAGAAAGGGGGCAGAGTTAAATCACATTCCCTCATCTGGAACAAACTGGCTGGATTAGTGCAATACGGGTTTCACTATTCACACTACGTTACCCATTTGGAATATTCCTGATGAATCAAGGGTTCTAGATGCTTCAGATCTTATATGGTTTTGTTTTGTTCTTTGTATATAGAAGTGAATTTTGTAGGTATGACGTTATGCTGCAGTGTGAGCTTTTAACCTGTAAAGTATTCCTTCTATTTGTGTTGTTAGAACCCTGTGGATCAAACCTTGTGCCTTCTTACCACACAGTGATACAGAAATGAATGTTTGTGAACCTTTGACAGATTTTGTCATAAATGTGATTTATCATTCTGTTAAAAACATGCACCTCTTTTTAAGAAGCCCAACATCTAAAAAAAAAGAAAAAAAGACTTTGCTGTAGCCTTCCTGGTTTACTGGTTTTTAATCATGTAGCTGTCAGAAATAAACAACCACTGTTCTTTGTGTGATGGAGCCTAATGTTAAAGCTGTCAGAGTCCACTGAGAGAGTGCAAGTGTAATATTTATGTCTATAGGGCCTGCCATTCATGCTGTTCTCAACTTTCACTGATTTAGGGCTCAGCTGGTGTAAACTGGGTCTTGTTTCGGCACACCTGAAGTCAGTGAGGGCTTTTAAAATGACTTTTTGATGTGCAAAATGACACTGTAATGGCTTCCACTCAGTCGCTGTGTGTTTCTAATCTTTCAAAGGTATACCTGTTCCACCACGTTCAAGATTTTTTCCCTTGAGTATTGGAATAATTGGTGGTATTTTAAGATAGTGAACTGTGCTGAAATAAAGCTGCTTACAAAGCTAAATATGTCACAGTTAATAATAAAACTACTTTGTTATTGGGTAGATCCCCCATTTTAGTAGGCCTTCTGAGGGGGAATTTCTCTGGATTGTGCCTTGCTCTTCTCCAGAATCCTTTGCCATATATTCACTTCTCTTCTGCACATAAAACCTGGTTGAGTTCCAGATGGGAAGAAATTCAGCTTTGCTCATCCTAATTGATATTGAGTGGTTTTTCATTCCTTTCATTCCAAATACATACTAGAGTCTGAAATCTGATAAATTTATACCTTGGTAACTCGTGATTGTGTGAAAAAAATATTCCAGCGTGAAGTGTCTTTTGAGAATTACTGTATTCATGTAATATATATTTGGTCTGTGTAAAAATATAATTTCCTATGTATACTGTACTAACAATATATACAGTGGTACCTCCGGTTGCAGACGGGATCCGTTCTGGAGGTCCAGCCAGATCCCAATGTTTTCACAACTGGAGAGACCGCTTCTGTGCACATGGCGGTAGATCGCTTCTATGCATGTGCAGAAGTGGTCTACCACTTCTGCGCATGCGCACTGGGCAAAAACCCCGGAAATATACTTCTGGGTTTGCCGCTTACGTATCCTGAAGTTTACGTAACTGGAGGGATACGTAAGCGGAGGTACGATTGTATTGGCCTTGGTCTTGAGTGAGCTAGACTTTTAAAATATTGATTGGTTCTCTTTAAAACTGATGACCAGGTTCAGTTGTTTACTTGCCTTTTCTGGCTCAATAATAATGTATCATAGTGGCCATGATAATTGCTAGAACATCTGGTGATATGCTAGCAAACATTTAAAGTATGGATAGTTAAAGACTATCACAATTTTGGAGAGTCCCTGCATTTCTGAGTGACTTTCCTGACGTATGTTAAAGCAACGTGGTGCTCCTCTAGCAATTGTAAATGCATTAGACAGCTGTGAAGTTGTTAGAATGTTTTTGTACTGCAAGCAACAAAAGGTTTTTTTTTAATAATGTTAGGAAGGAAAAAGGTTTTTAGTAAAGTTAGGAAGGAAAAGTTATGCAGAACTCTTAAAATGCCTTAGACATTAATTACTTGAGCATTGACTTTCAGTTAATGGAGACAAAAATGTGAAGTCCTCTCCTAAAGCACAAAGACACTGAAATCTTACCTAGTAACAGCAGTGGGGAGAGGTTTAGGCTATTCATCACAATAAATAAATGAGCCAAAGATTCCCAAGTTTCCTTTTATTAGTTCTTTCAGTTTGAAACTTACATGGTCTGATTGTACTGATGGTTTGAGTTTAACTTTGCACAGCTCCTACTGGAAGAGAAAATTAGGCATGCACATTCTATTATATTCTGGAGAGGTAGAAAAGCAGCACTCTTGTTAAGTGCTAGGAAGATTCTTACTGGAACACTGTTAAGAAGCTGGAACTTTGAGCATGGGATGCGAACCTCAGGCCCTGGGTCAAATGCAGCTCTTGAAGCCTCTCTATCAGGCTCTCAGGACTCTACCCCAGGCTACTGACCAACTTTATACTGTGCTGTCCTTGAACACTTTTGCTAGGCTGGAATGTGTCCTTGAATTGTGACAGTACCCCTTGCTTCTTTTAATGGAGGATGCATGTGTGTTGTGTGTGAAACCTCAGATATTCATGTGGCAGGAATGTAGCTTAATATACAAAGGTAAGTGTCAGGGGCTCAGGAGCAGAGGCACAGGGGAGAGAGGAAATGGAGAGCGAAGGGGAAGAATCTGAGGGCAGCGTAGGGGAGTATGACAATGACCCGAGAGATTCCATGAGCTTCTCCAGCGAATCAGAAGATTCCCAGAAGGGGGCGCCGATGGTCAGGGCAAGGGGGGTCCCAGGGGGGACGCACCAGAAACAAGGGGCCAGCGGGGACTCCCAAAGCAGCAGCGGGAGATCAGGACCAGCTTCCCCACCAGAGCGTAGTGGGGGGGAAGAGTCCCATGTGTCAGGGCCAGCATCTCCTCCAGCAGGGAGAGAAGATGAGTCAGGGCTGACCACGCCTCTATCGGAGAGTGGGGGAACGGAGGGGAGGTCAGGTCCAGCTAGCCTCCCCGAAGGGGGAAGCAGTGACAGGAGCAGTGTAACGGTCAGGAGGAAGGTTGCCGGCTGGGCGCGCGCGCCAAGTTCGAATGTACAGGCGCGCGGGACAGCAGAAAACCCGGATTGGGAACCAGGTCCTAAAGCCCGCCGGAGGCAGGGGGAAGACTCAGGGGACTCAGCGTCAGAAGAGTCTAGGAAGGGCAAGACCCCAGCGGACAGGCGGAACCAGAGGAGGAAAGAGCAAAGGAAGAGGTGGAGCAAGGCTAGAGTCTTAAACTGGTGTCTGGGGGGAGGAGATTCAGACGGAGCTTCAGCGGTCTAGAGTTTGAGACGTAGCGCTGCGCGCTGCGGCTGTGAAAGCGAAACTGAACTTCAATAAAGACTTTTGTATATAACAACGAACTGGCGTTGGTCCTTTGTGAGCTGGGACCTCGGGCAGCTCTGACAGTAAGTGTTAGATCAATTTCTCCACCAACTTTTGCCATTGGTATGCAACCCTGAAAAGGTTGCCCATGAAGGAATGTAAACCGCAGGCTGATTTTCTTTTCCTCACTCCTGATTCTAAACACTGGCATATTGTCTTGTTTCCATTTCTCCCCTTAGTCAACCTTGGGTTTTTTCTGTGGTGCACCAAGACTCTTGGTTTGAAATCCCCTTTTCCAGCAGCCACGCACTTTTCTTTGACCCTCTCATTGTCAGAGGTTGAAAGAGCAGTATGGGGCTGTTTGCAAAAGGACTTTCAAACAAACCATGGCTGTGCTTTGGAACCCCAACAATTGTGGCTTCAAAGCATAGCATCATCTGATGTCATTGTGCTGGCAGGTGACTGCCCACCAATCGAATTTGGCTTGGCAGGATTGGGGAAATAAGAATCTGGCCTGCCAACCAAAAAAGTTTCCCCACCCCTGTGATAAAATATCAGATAAATGATTCTTTTCCTGAAGCCAAAATATCTTCAGGTTAAAGTAATTACTAAGTACAGTGGTGCCTCGCAAGACGAAATTAATCCGTACCGCGAGTCTCTTCGTCTTGCGGTTTTTTCGACTTGCGAAGCACGGCTATTAGCGGCTTAGCGGCTATTAACGGCTTAGCGGCTTAGCGGCTATTAACGGCTTAGCGGCTTTAAGAAAAAGGAAACAAACTCGCAAGACGTTTCGTCTTGCGAAGCAAGCCCATAGGGAAATTTGTCTTGCGGAACGACTCAAAAAACGGAAAACCCTTTCGTCTAGCGAGTTTTTCGTCTTGCAAGGCATTCGTCTTGTGGGGCACCACTGTAAATAAATGCTAAGGCAGTTCACAGTCTGAGAATTGACTTACATAGTTCCAATTTAGTACAGTGGAAATTGTTAAATTACATTTTCTGATCTGGGATTGGCCTGATATAAAATAATAGAGTGGGGGTTTATGACGCAGTAATTTGGTTTCTATCAAGTAGTACCTGTTTCAGCCATGTAGCAGTTATGTAATTAACAGTCCCTATTGCCCCTTTTTGGAGGCATTTCACCCTTCTTTTTTCTTTTCTTCTTTTTTTTAAACATCTATACCCATTGATCTAAAAATAGTTTATTTTTTAAAGAAACCCAACAAAATCAGTCAGATTGGTAGTTTGAAATTGTGTGTGTGATTCCCCAACAGATACAGATTGTTTCATCCATGTCCCTTCTTGATGTAATAATTACTTGTTCCACAGAGGGAGTTGGAGAGGCTGTTACCAGCTAGACACTCCAGTGGTTGCTCATTAGATTGGAAGTTTTGGGAATGCCATGACTATTGTAAGATGTCTAGATACCCATACCTTTTGTGACATGCGTTTTTTGACCCTACCTCTTGGACTATTACTCCTGAGCTCTCTTAAAGCTCCATCCTTGCTTGTTAAGTTTTTTTCACACTTTACTTTTTGTGCAGATTACTATCCAGAAAGAATCATATTTGGTGTTTGTACCTCAGGAATCATGAATTTTAGGTTGCAACAGTAGCGTTCTTTCCATATACATCACTCTTAAGGAAACAGGTAAATATACCCATTTCACCGAGGTTGAGGATAAGTTTCTAGATAGTATCAAACAAGAAATTAAACTGAACTGGTTCAATTTTAATATTGAAGATTCTGTATTTTTACAGTTCTGAACTCAGTCTTCATAGGCAGATATATTTTAATTCGTCAGCTGCCATTTTAATCTACGTGGCATAAAATTAATACAGGGCAGTTGTGAGTTGGTCCTCTCCTGGGGTGGGTAAGACTTCAGCAGGATGAAAGTATTCAAAGGCTGCAATTGTGTGAACTGGCTTTCTCCACTCTCCAGCAGTAAACATTTGACAGAAGGTTGCTTTCCTTGCCTGCCTTGTTTTCTGCACAATCATCTAGTGTTTACATACATCTTAGCCTCTGTGGCATTTTTGAAGACTTTATTTGTCTCATTTACTTTTTTGGTGCGGATAATACTTAAAATACGAAATCCATCTGTGAAGCATATTGCCTAGTCACGTTGAAGGGTGAAACCAGTTTTTAATTAAAATTTTATGCAGCACTTGTATTTCACTTTGTCCTTTTCTATTATGAAACACTTCAATCTTTTCCCTAAAACACATATGTCTTGTGTGCTTCAAGATGTTCCTCGCTGCTCATGCAGAACTGGTTTCTTAGCTCTGTCAGCAGAGCGCCATATGCTCGGGGTTCATTTAGCTTCTCTCCCTGGCATTTGTGTAGGCAGTATCTTGGCTGCAATGCAGCTCGACTGTACTGTACCCCATTCTTCTATTTTGGGAAACTTGTCAGAAGATAAAATAGCAAAGAAACACAAAAACTGCTGGAGGATGCTCCAGGGTCTTGCATTCTAAATAATCTAAGATAATTTGGCCAATCAAGGCAGGGGCTTAGCATACACACGAGAGTTGCTTTCTTAATTATGCCTTGTGCTTAGTGTATAAAAGTGAATGAATGTTCTATTGTTAACACCAGAAATAAGGGCTGGAGATTAAGATACTATTTGGAAAGTTGCATGGATTCTAAATTGCTGTGCTGCTCTATATACCTTGATGTGATTTAAACAGAGAAGATAGCAGATGTCTTTTGTCTTCGTGAAAGTTAAAAGTTTCCCTTGCTGAAATTTTCACCATTGGAGGCAGTTTATTTATCATCATGGCTTTGATCATGTTCCATCTGCTGATTAAAAATCCATTCCTAAACAAAGCCGTTGAAAGGACAGCATAGCCATTGGTGCAGGAATGAAACCACCACTCAGCACCACTAATTTTGCAGACTGAATGCTATGTTTCGGTGCTTCTAATCCACAGCCCATTTACCTCGGGTGTTCCCAATGATGCTCAACCTTGTTAGTCCACATGGCTGAGAAAAGCTTCAAGGCCTTTGGAAGCCATACACTAAAACAGTGTTTCCCAACCTTGGGCCTCCAGCTGTTTTTGAACTACAATTCCCATCATCCCTGACCACTGGTCTTGCTAGCTAGGGATGATGGGAGTTGTAGTCCAAAAACTGCTGGAGGCCCAAGGTTGGGAAACACTGCACTAAAAAAACCCTGCCTTTCCAGGGTTCTTCCTTTGCTACATATTGAGCACTACAGTAACCATCAAGAAAAATGTGGGATATCTGGATGAGCTTTTAGAAGGCCTGGAATATGGTGTACTCATGTTGTATTCTGCTTTGACTACCTTTGGACTCCTCCCAGAGATGCTGGTAATGGTGGCCCATTTGGCCTCTTCCAGTGCAGACTCTGAGATCTCAAGATGTGCATACACTGCACAAAAGCACGATGCAGAGCTAATACTGCCTAAACACATTCCCATTCCACTGAATTTGGAGGGTCAAATAGCAAGGCACTTAAACGTGTGGCTCACTGCAAATGAATGTCAGAAGGCAACTAGAAAAACAGAGCTTTTAAAGTAAAAAGCTGAGTTTCTGCCACCTCCCTTTTCTCGATATTAAACAAAGCTTCAGTTCACTCTCTCTCGAATAACCTTTAAAGTTCTCCAAACTTTTTAGCCCTGTGGACACTAAGAAATTATAACAGTAATCTGTTTTATGCCTGTCTGTAAATCTTCAGAGATGATGGCTGTAGGATAACAAAAAAACTAAAATGGTGGTTTGCTGGAGCTTCCAACACAGTGCTTCTGTCCCCATCAGTTGTAAACGGTTGCACCAACAG